TTACAAAGTCCTATAATTTCTCTTGGATCTACCCATTGTGTTTTCTAGGACCTGAGCACGAGGAAGATGATTGAAAGTGGGCATGAAGTTGATACCTCTTTGGTGGACCTTCAGAGCATGGATATCGAGCCAAATTGAGTTTTGTTCTGATGAGAAAATGAGTCTTTTGAAATTATGGTACTGTCATCTTGGACATATGTCTTTTGGTTCTATAAAAATTTTGTTTCCAGACTTGTTTAATCCGGTGTCAAAAATGAACCCTAAATGTAAAGTTTGCCATTTGTCCAAACAATGTAAAACCACATATTTTGCGATTAGTAAAAGAAGTAATATTGCTTTCCATTTGGTTCATATTGATGTTTAGGGCCCATATGCTATCCCTTGCATGGGTGGGTATAAATACTTTATTCTCTTCATTGATGACTATAGTCGGTATACATGGCTCTACTTAATGAAAAGTCAGGATAAGGTTCATATGATTGTCTAAAATTTCATGAATATGGTAAAGATGCAGCTTGAGAAAAGAATTAACAAGATTTGACAATGCCAAGGAATACTTTGAAAACCATTTGCATGGGTTCCTTAAAGATGGGGAAATTATTCACCAAAGTTCATGCAGTCATACTCCACAAAAAAATGGAGTTATTGGAAGGAAGAACAGGTATGTGGTTGACGTAGCTTGAGGTTTACTATTTCAAATTCATGTTCCCACCTGATTTTAGGGTGATGCTGTTGAGATAGTTGTGTATCTCAATAATAGGCTTCCATCAAGGGTCCTTAACCTTCGGTCTCCTCATCAGCTTCTCTTCCCTGATGAACCCCTCTTTAATCTACCCTTTGGGATCTTCGGTTGTATTTGTTTTGATCATGATACGAATCCTACCCAACATAAGTTTGATCCTAAATCAATTAAATGTGTTTTCCTTGGTTACTCTTCAGTCTAGAAAGGCTATAGATGTTTTAATCCTCTCTCGGACAAGAGATATATTTCTAAGGATGTTACCTTTCTGGAGTCCTCTTTTCTCCAGTCATCTCATCCTTCTCTTCAGGGGGAAAATGCAAGTGAAGATCAAACTCCCTTTTGTCTTCCGATTCCTGTCCTTGTTCCTCCTTTTCCTCCCTCTCTTCCTTATAATGATGGTATTCCTTCCCCTCCTCCTCCTCCTCCTCCTCCTCTTCCTCCTATGTATCAACCTCGGTCCTAGCAGCAGTTTTTCGTCAAGCACAATAAGAGGGTGGCTCTTAAATGATGGTATTCCTTCCCCTCCTCCTCCTCCTCCTCCTCCTCTTCCTCCTATGTATCAACCTCGGTCCTAGCAGCAGTTTTTCGTCAAGCACAATAAGAGGGTGGCTCTTAAAAATGAATGCCCATCACAATCAAATCTCTCAAATTCAGGTACTCTTGAACCTCCTAATAATTCTGTTGTTAATCCTGACCTTGATCATTCTATTGCCAACCAAAAAAGAAAGAGGACATACAGCACATATCCTATTACTAACTATGTATCTTATGATGGTCTTTCACCCTTTTGTTGTGCTTGTATTTCTGCTATTTCTTCTTCTTCCATCCTCCGTAGTGTTACAGAGACAATGCAGCCCCCTCATTGAAAAAAAAAAAAAAACTATGAACCAAGAGATGGAGGCCCTAATAAAGAACCAAACTTGGGAGATTGTTCCTTGTTCCACTGATAAGATTCTTGTCGGGTGTAAGTGGGTTTACACTATTAAGCACAAGGCAAATGGCTCAATCGAGAGCTTATGGCCAAAGGATACACTTAGACTTAGGCATTGATTATTTGGAAACCTTTGCTCTAGTTGCTAAAATGAACTCTATTCGTGTGATCATGTCTCTTGCTGCCTACTACTCACTCTTGGCCTTTATATCAAATGAGTGAAAAGAATGCCTTCCTTTAATGGGGACTTGCAAGAAGAAGTTTATATGGACTTACCACTTAGAGTAAGATTTCCTAATAGTGAAAGAATTGCTTAAAGAAGTCCCTGTATGGGCTCAAGCAATCCCTTAAAGTCTGGTTTGACAAATTTAGAAATGCTATCTTAAAGATTGGATTCTCTTGATCTCAAGAAGATCACAACTTGTTCATAAGAAGAGTTGATGGCAGAGTAACAATGTTGATAGTATATGTTGACAACATTATTGTGGTTGGTGATGACATCTTAGGTATCTCTTAGTTAAAATTCTTCGTTGCTTCAAAATTTAAGATTAAGGATTTTGGTGATTTCAAATACTTTTGGCATTGAAGTTGCAAGATCCAAGAAGGGGATTTTTTTTGTCACAAAGGTAGTATGTTCTTGACTTGCTCCATGAAGTTGGTAAAGTTAGGGTGTAAGCATGTACAAACTCCAATTGATCCCAACCACAAGTTTAGTGCTACTATAGTTGGAGTGGGTCATCTCTTGTGTAGTTGGAGCGATTAGCCAATATATGCATGAACCCAAAACATCCTATATGCAAACAGTCAATAGAATTTTATCTTATCTAAAAGGATGCCCTGATAAAGGGATGTTGTATTCCAATCATGGCCATCTAAACATTGAAGCTTACACAGATGCTAATTGGGCAAGGTTCATTGATGATAGAAGATCTACATTTGGTTATTGTGCCTTGGTTGGAGGCAATATGGTTTCTTGGAGAAGTAAGAAATAATTTGTTGTTGCTTGTTCTAGTGTTGAAGCAAAGTACAGGGTGATGGCTCATGAAGTGTCTAAACTACGCTGGTTGAAGACCTTATTAACTGAGATGGACATCCAAGCAAATACACCAATGAGATTTTATTGTGACAACCAAGTAACCATAAATATTGCTTACAATCCTGTTCAACATGAATGTACAAAGCATATTGAGGTGGACAAACACTTTATTAGAGAAAGAATTTCTAGTAGAGATATTTGCCTTCCATTTGTAAGGTCGAAAGACCAACTAGCTGATTGCCTCACTAAGGGTGTTCACCATCCAAAGTTTGTCAAAAGCCTTGTCAAACTACACATGATTGACATATATGCTCATCTTGAGGGGGAGTGTTGAAAATGCTTGGACAATGGTGTTTTAGTCTTGCCATCATCTTTTGTATTCGGGCACCCAAGTATGGGCTTTCTTGTAATTTTTTCTTCAAAATATAAGTAGCTTTTTGAGGGTGTGAATAGTAACACACACTCCTCTCTTCAATACATCCTTCTTCCTCTCTTTCTCCTTCTTCTTCTTCTCTCTTCTCTACTTCTACAAACCCTAGAACAACTAGTTTTTATGCCAACTAGAGAACAGTGTGGGAAGTCCAATTGGACCTTTATAATCCTCACTATCTGGTATAGGACTTACTACAATTGTGTCCTTACAGTTACTTGAGAAATTGCAAATCTTGCTTCCACATCTGCAATCAATGCATTCCTTGGATGGACCAAATGGCTAGTATCCCTTTTTTATTTCATTCCTATCAATAGTGTTTGGGCAAGAAGAAAGTATCCATTGCTGATAGAGTGATTGATAGGTCTTTGGCTCCTATCTCATGGGAAGGGAAATATTATACTTGATATCCTAACTATTTTCAAGTTCCAAAGCTGTATACCAATTTCTGTATGTTCGTATCCTAACAAAAAGTTCGAATTGCCTAGTAGCCTTTTAACTTGATTGATCTATTTTTTAGGATTTGATATCAAATAGGTTAAGAAATACGCTATTAAGGGTATATGTTACACATATCAGGGGTAAATTTGTTATTGTACAAACCTCTTCGTAATGAACAATAGAAGAGATTAGGCATCTGTGTGCCTCTCAATTTTTCTTTCCCACTCTTTGTTCTTCTCTATTTCTCTTCTTCTTAAAAGCAAATAATAATCTAAATCCAACCAAACAACCATAGTTGTCAAGGCGACGCCTAGATGACGAGGCGCCCTTTGAGGCTCGCCTCGCCTAATCACCAAGCAGTTTTCTACTTCCTACTATAAAATACTTTTTTATTCATTCTTTTTTGAGATTATAATTATAAAATAGACATTTTTAAACAAAAATAATAATTTTGTGTGTTTATATACTAATTTCTTTTTATTATTTTCTTATTTATTAGGGTTTAATCAACACAAACATTGCTAAATTCTTCTACTACTACCAATACTTTTTATTTTCTTATTTTCCTATAACAAAAATAAGGGTTCAGCCCCTATATTTTTTTAATTTTATTTTCCTTCTTCCTTTTCTTTCATGAATATGTTGATTTTTCTATGCTTTAATATGAAATTTATACTTTTCTTATGAAAATCATGAATAATTATTAAAGAAATATGGTTCTGGTACCTACGGAACTACCCTAGGATTTATGTTTTTAACATAAAAAAAATCCATCGCCTAGGCGACAAGGCGCCCCCCAGTCGCCTAGCCTCGCCTTGGCGCCTTAAAAACTATGCAAACAACTTCAACAAATAACTACAACTCTGTTTTTTTTCTGCTTTTTGGGAAGTCAGATCTCTAGGACCCTTTCCTAGGATATAAATAGTTTCTCGAAACATCTCCAATAATCCCTAAAAACCAGGAAAAATCTCTGATCTAAATACAGGTTGCTGACTTTAACCATGAATGTGCTTCAAACTCATGAAAAGTGAGGAAAATGTAGTAGCTTTACTGCTTTGATACTAACTTGTGATTTATATTGATGATAAGAAGAACAAAAACAAAGAAAAATATATAAGATCAGTGTAGAATAGAAGAGAAAAAGAAAAAGGAGAAAAGAGATTATATGGAGGAGTCAATTGATTGGGATTTTAGTTCTATCTACAAGTCTGCAGTAAGTAAAAATATATCATCCAACAGATACATAAATATTCAAGAACATAATTGTCTAAAATAGTAGGATCCTAATAATTATGGTGCCTTGTTAGTGAAACACAAAATGTACTTTTTCCCTTTTTTTTTTCTTTGGGGGGGGAGCTAGCTGTGTTAGATCCACTTAGATATTGGGAACACCTTTCCAAGAATCAAGAGTTCAATGTACCTGAAGATAGACTTGGTAAATAAGATCATCGTAACTCCCAGAAAATGGGACAAACTCAAACGGCAAAGCATATGGTAATTCCTTCACTACTGCTTCGAACAAGTCTATGCAAAAGCCAGAGAATTTTGTAGAATTGTTGTAAACATTCTTTTCCATATTCACAAATTCTTTGAATCCCCAAACTGGAACACCAATCCTCAGCTTCTTCCCACTAGTTGGCATTTCCCAGCCTCTAGGCACCTCTGTTGATTTGCCTGGCCAGACAACAGGAGATTTTAGACTTGCCAGGAAAAAAGCATATGTTTTTGTGCTATTCAGGTTTGGTCCTCCGGAAAGATCATTTGATGGGGACCAACATGCAATTTCCTTTTCCTCTCTTCCATTCACATTGATTATCTGTAAACGAGATGGTTGTAATTGTCCATTTATGAAGTGGAATTCACCACCTAGACCTTTGAACTCAGCTTTTAAGATCTCATTAAGAAGCTTTGGACCGACAGGAGATATTCCCAGAGTCAATAGGTTGGTCAAGCCTTTGTCAATAGATGGCCTTTGGAAGTAAGAATTAACCCTTTCTGTCCTCTCTACAGCCACTGCAAGTGCCCAAGCTGCATCATATGCCCACAATCCAAAGATATTTATCTTACCACTTCCCATGGTTTGTCTATTTTCTACATCATTTGTTTTCCATCTGAATATGAAATCATCAAGTTTCCTTGATCTGGGAATGTAAGATCTTACCCCAAGCACTCCTTGCATTGAATCAAGAACTGAGGAGTCCACTGAATCTATTAAATTTGCAAGCCTACTTGTGATAATCCATGCATACCCTCTGGTGATCATTCCCACCTCTTTTGCCTTGAGAAAAAGGCGTGAGCCAAGTGTAGAGTACATGTGCACAATAAATACTCTTGTCTGCATAGTCATCAACTTATAGAGTTCTTTCAGGATTTGATCATCTGTAGCACTAATAGAAATAACACTCTTATATGAGATGCTAATATCTATTTCTTGGAAGGCATCCGTCAGATAAGGTATAATACCACTTCCATAATCAGTATCCTCATATATTAGAGTGGCTGCCCTCCATCCAAATGCTTGAATCATGGTGGAAATTACTTTTACCTGGGAGACTTCATTCTGCACTGCTTGGATGAAATAAGGACTTGGGATTAAGGATGAAAAGAGGCTATTCACAGAGAAAGATATAATTGGCACATGAGTTCTATCTCCAAGATCAACAATGAAATTAGTCAAGGCTGCTGTTTCTGGTCCTATGATTGCCCGCACTTCCAAATTCTGTAGCAGATCGATAGCTGCATTCCATGCACAAGTTAACAGACTGAAACAAAAAGCATGAGAATAGACAAGCTTGAACCAATGTGTTGTACAAGGAAAAGAGATTTTGATGTAATCCAGTAGCATAAGATGACTAGAGAACTGATAATTTGCCATGGATGATTCTAGGACTAGCAAAGACCATGATGAAACAGGGAATTGGGATCATCATGCAATCAAGACCAAGCACAGACCAGCTTCATGATAACATATGCAGTGCAACTGGGCTTGTGGGCTTAGAGGATTTTTCTTTTTTTCTTTTTTTTTTATTGGAGCCTAAGGGGAAAATTCCACCTTATAAATAAAGGAACTTGTACATTTTAACTATACGTTTTCTATGGGAGAAAAGTTTAGATACAGGAATTTTCCAAAGTTGCCATTGCCACAAATGTGGTCTAATTTCCTGACAAGCAAGGTTAAAGTTGTGTATGTTATATAACCTTACGATTGTTTTCCCAAAGTAATATTGGTAGTTTTGTTGTACCAAAGGGAGGTTTTGCTTCTAGTTTTCACTGGAGCTTTGGAAAATGAATTATAGTAGAATCAAATTCCCATACAACTGTACAGGCTGTTAATGGTAATTTCTATGTTTTTACATTACTGTTTAATTCCCCTTGTTGAGAGCATTTTGTACTTGAATAGATGTTAGATTGTAGAATTTGTATGCCTAGGTAGAAAATATGATAAGGCAACCAACAGTGTTGCAGCTAAAGCTAAAGTTTATAACATAGAATCTTACCTAGTTTTATAGGGCCCCTCCAAAGATGATTTAACTTCCTAAATTTAATTGTTTAATATTATTCGATAATTTGCCTAGTAAAAGAAGGTTACATTTTATATTTATTTTAAAAATTCTGAGAATCAAACAGTTGGTTGGTATTACTCATCTAGAAACATTAAATTAGCATATTTAAAAATCATTCTACTCATATGTGGGACCAATGTATTGGGATGAGTCAACCCTGCCAATTACATCTCTTTGGTAGTTAGAAAGTTGGCCAAAGAAACTTTAAAGTTCTAAATTGCTTGGATTAATTCTTATTTTAAGCATTTAGAAAAGATAAGATAATAGTAGGTACCAGCCGACACTGCTCTAATGGAATCTCCCTTTGAGTCCCGTAGATGGAGTACAAGCCTGGTGCTGTAGTTATGGTGAGCTTCATAGAAATCTGAGAGCGCCATGTAAATGCAGTCATGAACAACCTTTCCAACTGTTGAATTCAAATCAAGAATGACGCCGATATGTACTTTGCTGCTAGTTTGGGCTGTCGCCCAATTGGAGCAGAAGTTTACAGAAAGAGAGAAGAGAACAGAGAGGTGTACTAGATTCTTCATCCGTGAGCAAAGAAATTGTATATTTGTATGGTCGACCTCTAAGCTATCTCAGACTATTTAAAAGGAATACTGGGAAAGAATTCAAGGGTTCTAACCTTGAACCAGAGAGTTCCAGCAAGATACAGGGAATTCATGGTCAACATATTGACTTGAAATTTGAAAGTTTTACACCCCCCCCCCCCCCCCAAAAAAAAAAAAAAAGCAGACAAACAAACAACCAAACTTGAACTGGTGAAGCAGAGAGCTCCACCAATTAATATCAGAGAAGGGACAAAGGGAGTTAATTCAGTCAACGTTTTCACATTCACTATTCCATATTTGCAGTCAACTTCTTCCATTATAAATTCATCAAAAAAACTAATTCCATTATTCCAACCTTTAAAAAAAGGGGAAAATTTTCCACTCATTCCAGGAATCCGACCACACTACCGTCCTTCCTGCAATGAGCAAAGATAAATTCGCATCAGGTTGAACACCAGACTGAGAGAAAAATAAATAAATATATAAATAAGCCTTAGAACGTGTCCATCGGTACAGAGACTCGGAATTTTGAACGAAAGACGCTTGCGTCAAGATCGAAGACGTCAATGTGGGGTTCGGCTTCTATCAGGGCAGAGTCCATTCTCGCACCGTTCGCGCAGCATGAGGACACGCCATGCGTCTTTTGATTCGTGTATTTGCTTAGTGCGTGCGCCGTCAGCTTCTCCTTCGTTCCATTCTACTTTCCGCCCGAGACTCGCCGAACTCTGCCCTCGCCAGTCACTCTCACTCTCTCCCTCTTCAACTGGCGGTTTCTGGGTGTCTGGTAAATGAAAAGGAATCAGGAGAACATTTAGTCAAGAAGTAAAACGAGGAGCGTTGCAAGACATAATTGAAACCGGATCGTACGATCAAAAGAAAGACATACACAGAAGGAGATTCCTCCTCTTCCTCCTTGGGACATGGATTCCTTTTCTTAATCTCTGTCATCACTTTCCTCGACTCATCGAGCACTTGGCACGATCTTTGGCAGTAGGAGTCTTCAATCACGTAAACGAATCTGGTGTTGGGTGAAGAAGATCCTCTAAACACATGACCTAGCACACTCGAATTAAAGCTCAGAAGATTCATGAAAAAAATTAAGAATTCAGAGAGAGACAGAGAGACCTTGCGACGCATGGTGAGGAGGGGGTTGCCTGAGCCGTCCATGAGGAGGATCTCTTCCCTATGACCGTCCATATAATTGTCGACCCTAAAAACCAACTTCCCGTCAGAATCGATCACCGTAAACCCATTACAACTGAGCTAGAGTGAGTTTCTCCACACAGTCAGCGATCTACACACATCCTCCCGTTCATACTTTCCTTGTTTTACTTCTTGACCAAATGTTCTCCTGATTCCTTTTCGTTTACCAGACACCCAGAAAAAAATCAAAAGAATGAATTAGGGGATCATTAGAGAAGTAAATAGACAACATAGGGATTTCTTGGCAGCTCATGCAGGTGACAACCTTGCACTCGAGCGCAAACGTTTTCTTTGGCCCCTTCCAACTCCATTGATGCAGATATCTTGTATACTTTGATGGCACTTTTAAAAATGGGCGTGCAGTGGTGCAGGTATGGCATGTATAGCAATCACTCTACAGGTCCAGTAGTGGGTGATGAACCACTGTTGGCTGAATTGTGGGGGTTGTGGCATGCAGTACAATTAGCTATCAAGCTTCATGTGGCTTCTGCTTCTTTCATCGATGATTGTCTCATTATAATCCAAGGTTTTTGAAACCGAAGCGGAAAACGAAGCGGTCAGGGTATGGTTCCTACGTCGAATGGTTCGATCGTTTGTATCGAATGAACGGCTTGTCATAACAAAAAAAATTAAAAAATAGTCAAACCATTGGATGGCTAGACTGTCCGGATCAACGGTTTGTTGATCAAATCAAGGTTTTTGGTGAAATAACAGTTTTGGGGTAAAACGGAATCGGTCACCTAATCGGTTCCCGATTTTTTGATCCGACCATTCAATCCATTACAGTTTTAAAAACCATGTTATGATCCAATCTATTGTGGATGAGAATGCGGAAGTGCATCGGAAGATTAGGTCCTTACTGGTTGATAACTTGCGCTCTATTGTGCCAACTAATAACCTGTTCTCCTTTTCCTAGTCCTTGTACTCATAATGTTTTAGCTCATTCGCTATGTTCTTACTCGTTGTGTTGGTCGAGTCTAAGTTGTGGTTTGAATCTCCTCCTGATGTAATCTCTCTTTATTTTCTATAGAGAAAATTCTCGATTAGTGTTAGATGCTGCGCGATCCGGGCATTCTTATTTGGCGGAAATCTGGTTCCTAGCTGGTGATGGATGGTACCTGAGACGAAGAGGAAGGTGAAGAATTCCCGGGGAGCTCGATCGGCAGGAACACTCCGATGCTTAAGTTAGAACTCTGAGAGAACTAAAGAATACAAAGAGAGAGAGAGAGAGCTAAGAGTGCAGATGGCGTAGCATCATTTGGCGTCGTCTGTGGGAACCGCTTCAAAAAGCCTTCCTCCAATCTCTGCAACTCTCAGAACTCAGCATCCATGGCTTCCTCCAACAATGCCGGACGAGGTACAAACCAAAACACCTCTGAGGAACAACCCCAGCTTCCCATTGTCTGCATTGGACAGTTCACCATTCCCCTCTCTGCGGACGGAGTTCCCAGTCTGAATGTGCCTCGGACAGTGGCACCCATGAACGTTTCACTTCCCTCTACGATCAGAACAACCTTCGCTGAACCCTCCATCATTCCTCTGATGGCCAGCCAAAGCCAGTTTGAGGACCTGATGCAATGCATGCGAGCTATGCAAGCTCAAATGCAGCAGTTCCAGCAGCTTCAACTTTATCAGCAGCAAGTGTTGCACCAAGTTTCCCAGTATCAGTATCAACAACAGTTTCCCCCACTGCCTCAGGCCCAGCAGCCACTCCCTCCTCAGCATCCGACCACGCGGCAAACCAAACCCTGCCAGAACGAACTTCCTTCTCGCCGGGGAGAGACCTCGACATCGTCTCGCGGTGGGAAAGAGAGACCAGCTACCCCTGCCTCGCAGCCTGCAGTCAGGTCGGGGGCCTCCTAGCCAGTTAGGCCTACGTCACCTCAGCATTCGCAGTTCGAGCTCCCACTTGCTGAAAACCAGTTCGAGGTGCTGGCTGCAGACTTGAGGCAAGGCCCCTCAGTTCGCAGCTACCAACAGCAGTCTGAGCCCCTCCTTGGGCCCATCGAGCTCGGTAATACCAAAGCCAGCAGCACCAACGCCGAGCCAGCAAGGAAGCAGCAGAGGCGCCGCCGAGCTCGCCGAGCTCCCACTCACGATCTGCCCAAGCTCCGGGGTAAGGAAGAGGTAAGCTCGGGCGAGGTAAAAGTTACTCCACTTCTTTCAGTTCCTTCTCCTCTGTCGCTGGAACTTCTTGTTGTTCCTATGCCGAAGGACTTCAAGCTTCCCCCACTGGATAAGTATGACGGATCCTTCGACCCGAACGACCATGTGGATGCCTTCCAGTCCCAGATGCACCTAGCAAGGGCCAGTGAATCCTGTATGTGCGTGGCTTTCTCCACCACCTTCAAAGGGGTAGCCCGCACATGGTACCGAAACCTTGCGCCCGGATCGATAAGAAGCTGGGCACAGTTCATACAAGTCTTTGTTTCCCATTTTGTCACCAGCAAGAGATGCCCAAGAACTCAAGAGAGCCTCATTGGCGTAGTCCAGAAGGAAGGGGAGTCCATCTGAAGCTATACCAAGCGGTTCAATGACGCTTGTTTGCAAATACCCGACCTGGACCCCGCAGTTCGGCTCACTACGGCCAAGCGAGTTATCACCCATAAAGAATTCAAGTGGCACGTAGTTGTTAATCAACCCAAGACTGTGACCGAGTTCCTCAAGCTCGCGGGTCAGTTTATAGGGACGGAGGAGGAGATCAACCAGAAAGGTGAACAGGCCCTTGAGAAAAAAAAAGGGAGACAGAGCCCTCAACTCAGAGCGATAGTAAGAAGAAGGACCAAGTTCGAGGGGCAAGGCCAGGACAGCCTTTCCGAGCTCCAGCAGCAGAAAGGACGGACTACACGCCCCTGAACGCGAAGCGGGCCGAGATCCTTATGGCCATCAAGGGCGCCCCGAATGTGAAGTGGCCACCTCGGTTGAAGGCAGACCCTAAGGTAAGGAATAAAAATTTGTATTATAATTTCCATAAAGACCACGGTCATAGTACCGAAAACTGTAAGAACCTCCGCGATGAGATAGAGGAGCTCATCCGTCACGGATACTTGAGGAATTTTGTACAGAATAATAATAATAATAAAGCAGGTCGGCAGGGGGAGCAGAGTAGAAATGCTCCCGAACCCAGCAGGCAGGCATAGCAACCGCAGAGGCAGCCCCCGGAAGAGAGACCAGTTCGGGGGACTATACATGTGATTGTCGGAGGTTCGATTGTCGCGGGCTGCACTTCGGCCGTAGCTCGGACGTCGGCTCGCGAGGCCGCTAGAGAAGAGCAAAATCCTTCGAAGCGGCCAAGGACGGAAGGCCCGATCTTCTTCACAGAGGACGACGCGCGCAGGGTCCACTACCCCCATGATGACGCGCTCGTCATAAAGATAAAGATTAATGACTTTGAAGTGAGGCGGGTCCTCGTCGACTCGGGCAGCTCTTCCATGGGTCCTGCAATAGAGCTCGGCATTAGTAAACTCGAAAGTACTAGCTATTTAAGCAAGGTACTAAGTAAGACAACCTACCCGGTCTCAAGCCGGCTTGTATGAGCTTGCTCTTGGCGATATAATCCTTGTAATTAAACCCGAGCTCAGCCCATGACTGGAGCGTCTCCCTTGTCTTCTTGTCCAGTATGACGCCGGGGTCCTGAATAGCCGCCCTCCAATGAGTGGGGAAGGGCCACCCCGCAGTATTCTGGACTACAAAGTAGTCCTGCTTTCAAGTAAGCTTGTGTAGTAATTTAAAGCCCGGGTGAGGGGATAGGTAGTAGGCCCGCCTGTGCTCGGGGAGAATGCTTGAAGCGCTCTTCTTTATTGACAAGATTGAGCAAAAAATATCTAAGTCTAGGGAGAGGACGTAGTCAAAGCAGAGGGAGATGGTTCCGACCACGTTACGAATGGAGTTCGGGTGGAGCTGGTCTAGGGCGATGTTGAAATGTTTTAAGACCTCTACGATGAGAGGATGAAGAGGAAGGCGGAGCCCGGCTATGAGCTGCTCTCTAAAGATCACGATCTCGTCAGGACCGTGCTCCCAAGGGAAGTTACCCGCGGGCAAGCTATAAGTGTACTCCTTGGGGAGAATGTACTGCCAGATAAGGTACCGGAGTCTCTCCAGGGTCATGATGGAAGGACCGAACTTATCCGACATTCGACCTCGGTGAGAGGTGGACACCAGGTTACCCGAGGCCTTCTGTGCCTCATGAGAAGACTGGACTTCAGTTGGACCACCCTGAGCCGAGGTACCCACCTCGGGCTCATCCAGTTGACTATCGACACTAGACATGGTAATAGAAAAAAACGAACTAGAAGAAATAAGGAAACTGAAAGAAAAGCTAAGGAGACTCACCATGGAAAAGCAACTAAGCACTAACTTAACCATCGGAGTGACCTCGCCGAGTTAGCCACCCCGGGTTCTCTGATCCATCTCTTATAGGTTCCTCAGTTCCCGACATTGCTAGTAGCGAGATCATCTCCACTAGGGAGCAGCCGGATTGCATCACATCAGTGATAATCCCCACTACCTCATATTCCTTCACATTTCTCTCTCTCTCTCTCCCCTTATCTCTCTTCTTCCCCTTCCCCTTTCACTCCTCTTTATTCTTCCTGCTTTCCTATGTTTTCCGTTCCTCTCGGCCACATCGGCCACAGCTCGTTGCAGCCTCTAATTCCGTTCCTTCTTCTCCACCGAGATTTAGTTCTCGACTTCTCTCCAAAATCCAAATATTACCCAAAAAGTCCCCCCTCCCCTCCAACGGCTAGTTAGAAAATTGGGTATTTAAACCAGTGCGAGTGAGTGAATGAAAGAACGAACACATCTCTTCTTTAACTCAGATCTCATTACCCCTTTCTGACACTCTCCACCTGCGCAACTTCCGAGCGAAGGTCCGAGAAGATGGAGCAACAACCCCTATCAGTGGTCCGCCACAACAACGAAGACGATGACGAATTCTATGAGAACATCGAAGCCCCCAAGTTTGTGGATTTCATTGCACCTGATCTATCACGCCTGGACAATCGTTTCTGGTTTTGTTTGCGCGTTGATGAGTTATAGGTCTATCTCTTTTCGTTTTACTACGAATTCCGCTTGGTTTTTGCTCCAGTTCTGCGGATTTCAATGGTTAGGCAGTTAATTTTGTGTAACCTGACATTTTTATCTCCCCTGTTTGTTACCTAGATCGATTTTGTTTTCTTTTTCACTGTCTAGGTTGTTTATTTGTTTCTATTTCCAGATCTGTCATTTGGTTTGCATGCAACTTAAAATGTCTACAAGTTCCATCATTCACCTTCTCCTCTGACTAAAATCTGCTCCTATGTTGCTTTCACTTTGTCTAATCTAAATTAATTTCAACCTCCTTGTTTTTAACCCAAGCTTCTATTGTTCTTCTTATGCTGGTCTTAAATGTTAAACTAAACCTCAATTACTTCTTCTTTTAGTCTCTTATATTGACAACAAAGTTAAGGCTCGAAATTCTGTTCTCTCTTCCTACAGACTCCGTTTGTACTTCTTTTAGTTTCTTACATTGACAACAGTGTTGCAGTTCCGAAGAGTAGGTGGGACCTCGGAGAAATCCCCTATTATGAAGAACCTACATTTAGTGTTAACAAATGTTCAAATCTGTGAAGCAAGCTCCATATCAACTTCTGAGAAGGATTTGGAACAGAAAGATCCTCCCCTTCCTCCAACTTTAAAGGCAAAGGGAGAAAGTGGACATGAAGAAGTCATCATAAGATGCAAACCCCAAGATGGAAAGGACTCTAGAGATCTTTCTATACACCAAACTTCCAATGGCRCAGGAGATAAGGATGCAGTAGAAAGTGATGACAAAGAAAATGATTTATCTTCTGATAATAACAGGTTCAGCCGCTGCAACAAGCTGTGGTGGCTATGGCCGAGTGGAACAGAAAACAGAGGAAAGTGGGAAAGAAAGAGGAAGAGAGAAAGGGGAAGGGGAAGAAGAGAAATCGGGGRAGAGAGAGAAATGTGAAAGAATCCGAGGTAAAGGGGATTACTGCTATTGCTGCGGGGAAGATGAATAGTATTTTTCTTCTTAATTGTCTGAATAATTATTACAAAGGTAATATCGGAATTAAAAAATATTATAGCGGCCTTTTTGGACTGAAGGTTAACCGAAGGGGGTAGTACAGGGGGGTCTTTGTTGCAAAACAAAGTAGAAGGGGGGTCTTTGTCACAGACCCCAATAGTAAGGGGGGGAGGGTCTTTGTAATTTACCCTAATTTAATTTTGTAAATTCAATATGATTGAATGATGTCTAAAAGGGCAAATATGACATTTTGATTATATTAAAAGATTTTCTAACAAGTAGTAAGAGCAATTTTGTAACTTCAAAGTCTCTATTATGGAGACAATAATGATTTTTGATAATKAACTGAGACAACGATGGAACTTGAAGGGAGATTTTTATATTTTACCCAACAGTTGATAAATTTTTGTTCATTTGCTAAACCATAGGGATACTAAGTATTTAACCCTATTATTGTTTTTTTTTCGCAAGACAAGAAAACACTGATATTGTTGTGACAAGGGAATTGAAATCTTTTGTACCCATGTGTATGAAAATCTGTTGTAAACGATCAAGATCTAGGGTTTTAGTGCTGCTGGCATTTTCCTTGTACATTCCTGACATACAGCCTCTAGAGATGAAGAAAGAAAAGGATTACCRCACTGATCAAACCATGAACTTTTTGAGTAAATGAATAATCCCTCCATTCTTTCATGGAACGTTAACAACTCTGACTCTGATATGATATTTGTAGCCCCTAAGATGTTTATTGGACCCCGTTGTTTGAAGAGGTTCTTTTCTGGTCAAAGTATTTAAACATGTCAACCAGTCTTTGCCATGTAGGAACCTTAGAGCCAGCATTTGTGAACATATGGTAATATTCATGGAGGAAAGAACCTAAGAATATGATGAGAGAAGACGTTGATACAACTCCTGCAAGGAGGAAGAGGCCCCGGAATCTGTCAAGTGTTAGACTATATTGGGTGCTGGGTTCGTCCAGGTATTGGCACGAAATATTTTGCTTGAACCATTTGTTCTTCATATCTGTTATTTGGGAAGCTTCTCTTAGTCGTATAATTGCCGTTGATACATCTTTCACAAGAGGAGAACCTTTCTGGAACACCTGCAAAAGTAAGTTTGTAACAAATAAGAAACCGGAACACAAGGGTCTGGCCACTCTGTCATGTACACACAAGTATTAATGTTTAATAAGTGATAAGTAGTAAAATTTTGGTTTATATTATATTAAAACTTTAATGAAATTCTTATAATACAGGATCAAGGTTTTGGAAAAAATATTCAAACTATTACAGATGGAAGTGATCCACGAAGCACCATTCCTTATCTTGTTCATGTAAGTTATCTTTTCCTCAGGTGTGATTTTACAGTAATTCCTAATATGTAAGTAATTTCTTCTGACATAATGGGTTGGCAACAAGTTCACACCATGCCATCACCTATGCAAGTAGTTGTTTCAAATTAACTTAGTCTTAAACAAAGATCAATTTTAGTAGACAACATCTAACATGTTCATTACATATTTTCTGTCATAAGCACCACATTGGCTCATATATAACCATTCTAGATCTTTTGTAAACAATTTCCCATACAAGTTGTGTGTATGGATTTGTTTTTTGAATACTCTATAAAATCATATTGCTTCATAATTTGAAGTTGTCTATGTAGACAGAGGTACCCAGAAGTGTGTCTGGCCAAACCATCTCTAGTGGATCAGAAATGAGCCAGATGAAATTTTATATGTGCAAGTGTTTATTTCCTAAGTTGTGTTTTTTTTTTTTTGCATAATTAAAAAAATAAAAACTATCATGTGTAAATGCAAGAATCATCATGGATTGGATCATGTCAAAACAAACAACTGAAAAAGGGGGGAATATCTTAAGCTAGCTTTGTTTTGTAGGGATGTGGTGTTCATGTGTATTTGTTTGGCCATGCTTAGTTGGAACATCTGATGAATGGAGTTGGATGCTCAGTCCACTAGTTGCTTTTGGCTTATGTAAAACAAGACATTTATTTATTTTACAATCAAAACAACCAAGGACAGCATATCCTGGCTTGACCAGGATGCCCCGAGTGTTTGTACATGAACCTAAAGTGACAAATGTTAAGACTTTTAAACATCTGAAACAACTTGTTTGGATTAACATTCTCGTAGAGTTGCAGATATGCAGTTCAAAAGGTGGCTAAAGGAGGCCTGCCGCTAATAAAAATAACCTATAGCGGCAGTAAATTAAAATTGCCGCTAAAGATAGCACTAACTGCCACTAATCGAGGCACAAAAATCGAATGAGGCTTTTTTCCTCCTCGCATAAACCCTTCCCCAATTCCACTTCTTCCCACTTCTCTCTCTCTCTCTCTCTCTCTCTCTCCTATTTCTTTCACTCCTCGCGGAAGCCATGGAGCGTCTTTCAAATATGCACAAGAATGACACTCTCCAAAATTGTTCGAAGAGTCTTCTACAAAGTTTAAAAACCCTAAACCGCAAATCTGAAAAAACAAAATGTCTTGGATTCTCTAGTCTATTTTTATCTGACTTCAAACAAACCTATTGACACATTCGTGGTCGGAGGCTGGATTGATTAGAGAGGTCTATGGAAGTAAAAGGCCCGAGCACTGCAAATTCAGATGAGAGATCGTTTTTGCATTGTTGTTGACTAGCATAGATACGAGTCGAGGCTGCAGATGGTTATTTCTTGTCATCAGTTCAACGGTGGCTTCTATGACTTCGTAATCTTTGTAGAGATTCGATGTCGGCTCCATCTCCATTCTATCGGAAGTGGGGTAAGTTTTTCAGAACATCAGAACAGAGTTACATTCTCCCAATGTTGGAGTATTATGATCTATGCCTCGGGAAATTATGAAGGCACTTCTTGACAAGGAAGAAGTACAGTGAGAAAAGCTCGCTAATTCTCAACTTGGAGGCTTGTGGAGCATGGAAGGATTTCTTAATACATGGTCTTGGAGCCAGAGCATTGGATATCAATACACATGATACATTTGGTAATCAAAATAGAAAAGCTTGCTAATTCCAATGCTCTGACTTCATGTATCCCTTTCTATTTTGATTACCAATGGTGCTCTGTAATAGAATTTTACTAGAATTGAAGCTTGCACAACTTGCTGCAGTTTGTGGTAGTTTAGTTTCAAAAGGAATCAAAGTTCATCCTTGGAAAAATAACTTCTTTGCCCTTCGAGGATTGAGCTTTGGATGTTTTGCAGGCTTTTGCATGCAAGGGTGTCTTCGCTGGAGATTGCCCAGAGGTCACGACCGAGGCGAGAGGTGGATGGGGAGGGAGGGTGTAACTGCAGCAACACGACCGAGGCGAGAACTGTGTCACGGACCAAAGCACGGCTGCCCAAAGGTCAGTCTGTTGGGAAGGAGACATGTTGCCTAGTAGTGTGATGAGGCTAGGAAGGAGGGCGGGGTAACAGACGCTGCGGTCGGGTTAACTCTGCATCTCTAACAGACGCTACGATCGGGAAACTTCATCTCCAAGATCATTTTGTTTTTTATTAAAAAAAATTAAAAATTCATTTTTAGCATAAGCTTTTGATGGCTCAATGGATTCTATAGATTATTCATAAATCCATCTTATAGCTCTTTCTTACAATTAAAGCCAATGTTCAAAGCATCGGCCGGGCTGATTTGTATCGTTCTGGGAGCTCCCAGACACGCTCCTACAGAGGGTGTATCGGGGTTTTGATCGGTTCAGGGGTGGAGAAGCCTTAAATCGGCATTGGTTTTGAAAAAAAATATAAAAAAAAAGTAAAAAAAGAGTATTGATATCGTCCAATATGCCCTTACCGGTGTATCGGGCATATCGATATTTTGCATAGTTTTTAAAAACGAACCGATGACTGAACCGGTCAGGAGTCCGGTTACCGGTTCAAACGGTCCAAATGTTTTGACAAAAAAAATAAAAAAAAATTTTAAAAATTGAAAAACGGTCAAAACCATTCGAATGGTTAACCAGCCGATTCAGCAGTTTGCTGACCAAAATCAACGGTTTTGGGGGAAAAAGCAGTTTTGAAGGAAAATGGAACTGGTCAGGTGACCAATTCCCGGTTTTTCTGGTCCGACCATCCGGTCTGGTCCGGTTTTGAAAACAGTGATATTTTGAACCCATTTAAAATGAATTTCTATGCATTTTTAGTTTTCTCAATTTTGATGAGAAAAAAAAAATACATGGACCAACTAATACAAGCAAAAACATCAAAAAGCCAACAACAAATCAATATATCCTTATACTTAGACACCGAAATATATAAATCTATTGAACATTGAATGATTAAATAAAAAATGGGAACTCTGTATGGGCTGAAGAAAGAAAGCTTAGAAGTGAGAAAATTTGCCAAAATAGTGGAACTGGTAACCATAAATCATTCCACCAGCACATGATCTTATATCAACTGATACGAGTTGGATACCGCATCATGCCATGAGTCGGCCACTGTGGAAATGGATAGGATTTTATAACATGTTTTGCAAGAATCAATGTTTCTTTTAAAGACAATAATTTTCTACAGCTGTGTATGTTACAATAGCTCAATTGACAATTAAAAAGGGATAGACCATTTGTTAGGTTTACAAAAGAATTTATTGCAAGCTCAGCTTGGTTCTCCACACTTCTCCAATGACTTTTCTTGGTGATGGATCATCAGGTCCTTTATCTCGCTGTCCAGATGTGAAGTACAACCAGCCATCCCAGAAGCCCACCAGAGTGGTTTTCACACGAAAAGGCATCTTTCCAACTACTGACCATTCCTGTGATCAAGGTCGTGATAAAGTTATAACTTAGAAGACAGAAATTTCAATCAGAAGATAAAAATTGTCTTAGTGTAGAGAAACGGTCTACTTCTAAAAGTTTGGATTTCTTATTAGTAGATGATCAGGCATGCACCCGAAGTTAAAAACTAGCTTTTTGGAGCTATGCTGGAGAAAAAAGTAAGGCAACGTAGCATATCGTGGTTGACTGAAAACACACACACACACACATCCCTTGGTAAAAATCCCAGTTGAATTTACGACCATCCAATTTATCAACTTATTTTGAATAGCCATTAATGGATGGTGGACAACTCTAAAGGTATTAGAAGATTGGTCACTAGTGAACAACTCTAATAAGATCTCATAAAATGGCAGATGCAGGAATTCATCAATTTATTGTCCCTCATAATAGATGTATTTTATTTTTGAGCAAAGGTAAAGTATAATAGATGTACAATAGATGTATAATTTTCTGTAGTATCATAGAGAATTTCAATTTGGAATAAGGAAAAATTATTACATTCTTCTACGTCAAATTCAATGAGTCCTGTGTATCTTGTTTCTTGTATTCATATTATTCTATTTTTTCAAATTAAACAAATTGAACGCCAAACAAAATGAAGCTTCAGTATATCCATCAAATGCACTAAACCATTTATCACATTATCCAAGACTGAAAAAAAATCAATATCACTACTTAATCTGACTAAAAGTCTATAATATCTACATAGGAAAGAGCAAATGGTGAAGAGAACATCCAGAAAAAGGTTTCAGTTGAAAACATGCAAATGAAGAGGAGGACAAGTGACTGGGTATCATTCATACTCAAGAAGTTTATGCAACACATGTTTACAATTCCAAGTTATGATTCACTTCCAACATGTATACTTCCAATGTTTCCTTGGAGTTCAAGTTTGGTCACGTTGAACATATGATTACAATTCTAGAATTACAAACCTGAGGTTGATTACCAGGAAGGTCAAAAAACCTTGAATACACAGATTGATATGAGGCCCTCGATACTGAATCAGCAAAACCCTCCATAAACCCTTTTAGTTTTACATGCACTCTGAGTAATCTTGAGATAGAATAGGAAGTTGCTATAGAAGCTACAAATATAACCTGCAATCTGGGAACTAGGCAGCCTTGTAGCAAATAAAAGTCCGTGAATTCTCTGGGTAGCAGCCAAGCGTAGGCAAATGAAGGTGGTGTAACCAAAGGCTTTTTGGCATGGACAGAGCAAAATAAGTTTTTTTCTTTTTCCTTTTTATTCTCCTTTTCTTTGTGGGGAGAGGGGCTCACTAAAAGGTTTAACTATGAATTTGTCTCCACATAACACCACCAGCAGGGAACAAGTGAGGTCGGTGATGATGCATTGTACATTAATAAAAGCAGCAAACAAATATCCTAGTCACAAATCACTGTTTACCCTATAAATAAATAAATAGATAACAATTGTTAAACCAAATGAGCATTTGACTTGAGTGAAGATTATAAATAATGAAAAAGGACCATACCAGCGTATCTAACTTAAACCAGAACACCTCTCCAACCAGAATCATCTTCTTGGTCACAGGGTGCTTCTCTGTTGTGCCTCCAGCAATAACAATGGAGTTATTAACTATAACCCAGGCAAACTCTATATGAGAATCGGGTTTTGGCATTGGAGGCAACGTTTTCCACCTCATCTCATCATCAAGCATATAGACATCACTATATACAACCTGTAATGATAAATTAAAAGTTACAAATGGTAACATAAGCAGAAAGAAAGAAAATTAAAAATGGGAACAGGACAAGGGGGAGAAGCAAGTTGAGACCTGTCTTTATGTCTCTGTTATTGTAATAGAACCCCTCATTTAACTTGAGGAATCCATTCAAGACCTATTTTTTTCTACATCAAAGAAGAGGGATAAAGTACTATGGAGACTTGCAAGTTGCCATGGCTCCCATTCTATACAATGTGGGAGGAAAGTAACAAAGAGAATATTAAAGACAAAAGTCAAACTAAAGAAGCAATGTTCAGAGAACCAGACTGGGCATAGAACAGGAAAAGGGAGAGGTTCACAGGTCAGCATAGTTGTCAAGGCGACGTCTAGGCAGGTGCCCTTGGAGGTTGGCCTTGCCTAATCACCAAGAAGTTTTGTACTTTCTATTATAAAATGCTTCTTTATTCTTTATTTTTTTATATTATAATTATAAAATAAACATGATTAAACTAAAATATTCATTTTGTGTGTTTATATACTAATTTATTTTTATTATTTTCTTATTTTGTTAGGGTTTAATTAACACAAACATTGCTAAATGCTGTCTTGAACCCTCAAAGACTTCAAAACCTGAACCAATAAGGTAGAGCTTAAAATTTGTCTAGTCAACACATCTTCTTCTCATTTTCTTCTTTTCTTTTCTTCTATTTCTTTCTTCCATATCTTCTACTTTTTCTTTCCTTCTTTTCCTACAACAAAAATAAGGGCTCAGCCCCTATATTTTTTTCAATTTTCTTTTCTTCCTTCATTTTCTTCTCATGAATATGTTGATTTTCTATACTTTAACATGAACTTTATACTTTTCTTATGAAAATCATGAATAATCATTAAGGAAATATGGTTATGGTGGATAGAGGTGAAACCGTGATGATGTAACATATATACATATATACTACAGGTCACATAAATACTATATATAAATATATTTTACAAATATTATTACACTTGAATGTGGTGGATAGATGGCTAGTTCCTAAACTTTTAAAACAAATAACTAAGTTCAAGCCTCTCAACTCACATTTTCTTTAAAATACATGTGTATTAACGCAATATATAGATTAAAGAGGCATAAATGGACACAAATAAAGAGGTGGATTAATGGTAATAAGACAATACACATAAATAAGAGGCCTGGGGTTCAAGTCTTGCCATTACCATTTTGAAATTTCTATTCATGTGGTAACCCAAGCTGTTTTATAAAACTGGGACCTGTTCACCGGTTTTCCAGTTAAAGTGGTTTAACCAGTCCAACCGGTTGGTCCAGACCGGTTTTCTAAACAATGTATAGAAGCATTAATGGAAAACAATCTTGGCAAGGGTGGTACGTTGGGTGAAGACTTTGCCCACCTTTGATCGCTATTCTTTTGATGATATTACTAGGAACTGGCAAGCCATTGCTGATTCTTCACAGCTAGAACAAAATATCAAGATGAACTTCACTGCTGCAGTCTAGGAAACCTGAGTAGCTTGGGCATTGGAGGAGTTCTAAGAAGACATGATAGGAGTATTATGGCTTTCTTCTCAAGGGCCACTGGATATGGAGATCCCACTTGGAAAGAACTGTTAGAAGTCCTACATGGGTTAAGGTTGGGAAGGAACCTTAACTAGAGAAAACATTCATGGTGGAGGGGGATTCCCAAAGTAGTGGTGCATTGGTTAAGAAATAATGCTCCAGGAAAATGAAAATTTAGGTATCTTTTGAGGAAAGTCAGATTATTGACAGAAGAGTTGCTACTCAATTTCCACTGGGCTCCTAGAAATGCAAATAGCATGGACAAAATGCACTAGCAAGACAAGTGGTACCTAGATCACATCTCTTTTGGGGGCTGGTTCCAGGGAGAACATAATGTAAAACATGTCAGGTTAGGCAGTGAGTGCTAGCCTACAGTTGAGCTGCTTGCATTGCAAATTTATAAATCATTCTTCTTTACAAAGTAATAAATCTTTGACTGTTACCAATACAAAAAGGGGAAACAAGTTGAGACCTAGAATGTTGCATTTGTTTGATAATCAGTTAAAATGATTTTCATATCCTCCAGGAATCATATGACAATACCTCATGCCTTCGGGAACACTTGAAAATAGGTGATCCAGGTTTGGCCATAAAATCACCTTCCTGACCACCAATAACAAGAAGCCGATCATCCACCACGATGCAGGCTCTGCAATAAATGAAAATCAAAATTAGAAACAATAAAGTTAGTTGTTTCAATCTATCTAAAAGACCATTATTACTACTAGTCATTCATCAACTACTATTTTCCCTTGATCAGCAAGATCAAAAAATGAATTTTTATTAATACAAAAAGAGAAAAAGTCCTATTTTTATAAAAAAAGTCTCATGCCCAAGAGTGACATTCAATTACCACTTTCATATTGATAAATATCAATGGTCTTGTTAGGAAGAGGATTTTCAGTAAATGGTTTAGTGGTCATGTATGGTAGGCCACTTAGATTGTCACATTTTATTTGGGAGGTCCAGTCCTTGGTTGCATCCTTATACTGTTCCAAGAAACTCAGGTACCCAATGATGTTAATGAAAATCTATCTAGCAGAAATAGTGCAGGCACAAGGAATGAATCCATGGAGAATGGAATCGGTTTTCTCCCAATTCCTCATCCAATGGTGATTTCATAATTTTTCAGTGTTTTGGATTTTAATATTTTTCATTCTTCTCAATTTCAAAAGGGAAATGCGGGAAAATGAAATGATTCCCTAAATACCTTTCCTTTGGATCATTCTTGGTGTGATAAAAGAATTTGGTCCCTTTGTAAACCACATATCTTCGCTCGTGCAGTTATGCTTCCATTTTCGTGCGCTCTCCCTCCAATTCTAACACCCTTCCTTCTTTTTCAGTTAGGGCTGTGTGGAGTGAGCCAGTCCCACTCCCACCTAAGATTAGAGCTTTTTACAATGACATTTTTCAAGTGAAAATTAATACTTGTAAGCATCTCCAGAAAAGAGGGCTTAATTAGTGTCCTCCCCATATGTGTGTTCTTTTCAAATGCAAGTGGTGAAACTAATCTTCATGTACTCCTATCAGATTGCCTGTTATCCTTGGTACTCCTATCCATGTCATCTTTCTATTCCATCACCTATAGAAGGGTAAAAATTTATGGAGATGCAATAAGTCAGCAGTACTTTGGTCAGTTTGAGAAGAATGAAATGCAAGAATATCCAAGGATAAGAGACAATCTAAGGAAGCAATAATTGAGAGACTATTATGGTGAGAGTGGCATAGTGGGTAAATTCCCTGCATGTTTTGATCACTTCACAACAATGACATCATAAGATGCTAGCATCTCAACTTCTAGGGGCCCAATACTGATATCATGGCAACCACCTTAAACAAAATATAATCAAGATGAAGTTTAATAATTGTCACTTAGGTAATCCTGGATCTTCAGGAACTGGAGGAGTCTTCAGAAGCTGCAATGGAAATACAATGCAACTTTTTTCAGGACCTATTGGGCATGGAGATTTGACAAAGGCAGAACTACAGATGTCTTGCACGGCTTAAGGTTGGGCACATATCTCCGGTATAAGAATATAGTGGTGAAGGGGAAAAAAGGTAGTGATGAACTGGCTTAAGAACTACACCTTGGGGGCTTTGAAATATAGATATTTGTTTGAGGGCAGATAGGAAACTAGCTACTGAATTAAATGCTACATTCTCTTCAGTTTAAAGATCTACCAACTATATGGAAAATGCCTTGGCAAGATAAGGGGTGAATAGAGAGCAATAGCGAGGAGTGATTTATGAAGGGAATTCATTGGAACAACTAAAGGTACTTGATGTGGAGTAGGGTGATCGTCTCACCCATAGTTTTCAAGGCACCAAGGCGAGGCTAGGCGACCATGGGGCGCCCAGGCGCCTAGCCCTCGCCTAGGCGATGGAATTTAAAACTAATGTTGCCAATGGATTCCTACCCTTCTGAACTAGTTTTTTTTTTTTTTGGATTTATGTATTCTGCACTTACTTTTGTGCTTGGAACTTGAAAGAACTGAAGATTTTAGATCAATAATACATAGGGAACAAATACTAAAATAAAAGAAGAAAATGAAAAAGAAAAGTAGGGGGCGGAGCCCCTGTTCTAGACCCAGAAAATCTGGTGAAAAATATTAAAATAAAAGAAGAAATATGAAGAAGAAAAGAAGGGATGGAGCCCCTGTTTCAGAAACCAATGATGAGAACAAAAAAAAAAGCTGAAAAAGGGAAGAAATTAAGAACAAAAGAAGGGGGCAGAGCCCCTGTTTTAGTCCAATAAAATGATTCAAAAACTTGGAGAAAGATACAAAAAGGAAGAGGAGAAAATGGGGCGTAACCACTGTTTTAAACCAGGAAATAGAGAACAAAACTAAAAAGAAGAAGAAGAAGAAAGAGAAGGATTAACTCACCTTGACTTTAGAGAACTGTGTGGGAACGATGGAGGCTGTTGTTCTCTCATCTTCCTCAGGTTGATACTTCGATTCTATTGTCAATGTGAAATCCTCAAAGATTAACTTTGTTTTTACTTTCCTCAATACAAAAGCATGATAACATGCAATAGGTTCTATTATAATAACTAAAACAACCAATAAAATATTATATATTTTATATTTTTTTTTATTTAATAAATATTTCTATAAGCATGCACCTAACATAGTTGGCGTTTGGGCGAGGCATTCTTTGAAAAGCGCCTAGTCGCCTTGACAACTATGGTCTCATCACAGCTCAAGCAGAGGCTACAGACATGGGGTGAAAAGGCAGCAATTTGGTCTTCTTTTCTGAAGAACAACCAAAGTATTGATTTTTTAGAGCACCATCTCCCAGCAAAAAGCCCTAATTTTCAGAGGTACAGGGTTGCACAAAACTTCCTTTGTTGGAAAGGTTCCTATCAAATTAAAAGACTAAAACAAGACTTGAAAGAAAGAAGAACAAGTGAAAAAACCAGAGCCAGAGGAGGAGACCGATCAAATTCTAGTACCCAAGCAAGGCTAATCCAATAACATTATACTTAGAAGAGAAATGAATTCATCTACCAGCCCCATTTCAAACTCCCTTAAACCTCTCCTCAGCCCCAAATCCAAAGAGTTTCCATTGCCACAAACAAAAGAAATTACTTTTCCCTTATTTAAAGAAAGGGAACAAAGAGACGGGAATCTATCCTTGAAAGAGGTGTCCCCAAACTAGACATCTTCCCAAAAGCACACTTTTATACCTGCACAAGCATCATACCTGAAAAAAGGAAGAAGGGAAGGCAGAATACTGTGGATAGTTTTCCAAGGAGAAAACCTAGAAGCCATAGGGTCAAGGCCAACATCCCATCCATTGTCTACCAATTCATGAATGCTTACAACCACTTTGTGCCACAAGCTATCCTGCTCCAAGGGGAATGAGAAAGTGGAAAGAAATTGCTACCTCGGCTCAGTGCAAAAGGACCTCTAGATCTGCTTGGTCCCCCCCCCCTCTCCTTCAGGATTCATGAAACTGAATTCTGATGGTTGTAGTTTAAGGAATCCTGGACCTTCTGGGATTGGGAGAGTTTTCAGAAATGAGGCTGGGATTATTAATGCTATGTTCTCTGGCCCTATTGGAGAGGGTGACTCTCTTAGGGCAGAGATTTTAGCAGCTCTGGGAGGAATCAAAAGAGCAAGGGAATTAAACATTCAGTGCTTGATCATTGAAGGGGACTCGGAGGTGGTAATTAGGTGGTTGAAGGAAGACAGCAATGGTTTGTGGAGCTACAGAAATGAAAAGAAAATATTTAAATGGCTGAGTAGGGATATTGAGGTGAGGTACAGCTGGGTGAAGAGAAGTGCTAATTCCATGGCTGATGGGTTAGCCAAGCAAGGGGTGGTTAAGGATTCTTTGTTTTGGGCCATTTTTTAGCTTTCTTTCTTGTTCTCTATTGTGGGGGAGTTAAGATATTTTACCTCCCCTTTCTTGTACTTAAAGTTTCACAATTTTTATAATCTAATAAAGCATTCTGTTATTGATCCAAAAAAAAAATCTGCTAGATTCCTTACCCTAATATTTCCTATACCTAACCCCCCCCCCATTTTGACCTAGCCGGTTGAACTGTTCGAACCGTCACCCAACCATGATTCTGGGTCTTGGTTCTAGTAAAACCTGGAGTTCTGTCAAAAAACCATTGACCAGGTTACCATGAAAATGCTCCTCCAATCTCGTATTAGCCACACATTCTCACGACAACCAACATTTGTGGAATCGCCATAACCTACAGCCCCCAAAATACCAGTGATCGAGCCAACCTTTCGAAGAGAAGATTGCACAGTTCTGGAAATTGCCCAATGTCTACTCGTCTTTCTTCCCCCATCGAACTCCAATAACCAAACAAGTATGAACTATGGATTCTTTTTAATTTTTGGTTCATTATAGCTCCATGCTTTATGTAAAAGAAATTTAAATGCCAATTATCACAAGGAAAAGGACACTATTCATAAGCCATCATATCAGCATATAAGCAAAGACCTGTGAGCTAGAAGATGAGGCATGATTATATTTGCCACATCAGTGGAAATTCTAAATTAATGAAGTAAAGAGTTTGCATGATATTTATCCTAGAAAGAAAAGAGGTGTATTCTTGATTAATTCTTGGCTTCTTGATATATATGAAATGAAAGGAATCTCTTTGACTGACTTGCAGAGTTACCTGTTACCTAGTGGAGATTCTGAAGAAAACCTCTTCAGGCCACTGACCTCCTAGTAGGGTCACTCTTCAGTCAGTAGAAGGTTAGATCAGACTTCAATTTAAAGGTGGCACTGAAAGAACCCTTTACAAGTCTGATGGGACTATTATTTGGGCCTACCGTGGTCCAATGGGCAATGGTGATTCCACCAAAGCATAGGTTCCCTCACTCCATACTGGGTTCCAAATTGCTAGAGATTTCACCTCTCAAGATTAGCCATAGATCATGATTCCACCAACATCATTCAAGGAATAAAGGTTGTGGATTGGGCCTTGGGAGAATGCTCATTAAATGAAAAAGATAAAAGACATATACCCAAACTGAATGGATTGCTAGGCATCTCAATTTGATCACTGATAATCTAACAAAAGCATTTTTTTTGGTATAGCAATAGCTCTATGCCTTGATAATTTTTACTGTTGGAAGATAGCAATAGCTCTATGCCTCCAATTTTACTGTCCTTTTTTTGGATTGGTAACCAATCAAACTTTTTTAGTGTAAATTCCATGTCAGATACCTTGAATGAGCCCTGTCCTTGTGATTTCCATGTAATATAGTTCTAACTAACCCATCCTTTTGGAATAGTAAACAAATGCTAAAGAAATTAAAGAAAAAAAGGAACATAAGAACAAGGTTATAATTTTCATATGAATATTAGAATAAGAAAAGGAACATAAGAACAATGTTATAATTTTGATATGAATATTAGAATAAGAAATATTCCTATAAGACTAAATACATCCATCTAAAAGCAAGGCATTGTAAAATTCTTAATGGCATTAAAAATTATCAATTTAAATTTCTGCAAGAAGGGGGTTTTCTACAACATGCATGTTTTGTTTTCATTTGCTTTTGAAGTTGCCACATCAGCCAAAAAAACGAAATACATTCTTGAATTATATTTTTGTTTTGAGAAGAAAAAACATATTGGTTTTGTTTCAGAAAACAATCCATGCTTTGAAACCATCAAAATAACGGATTCTAAAATAAAAACACATTTTGGAGTACAGATATCATATAATCTATGAAAAATGATATCAATCACTAGATGAAAACATGTCCTTTAAACCAGAAAATCAAGAATACTTTTTTATTTTAGTTTTGAAAACAAAAAACATAAATGCAACCAAGAACCTATTTTCCCTATGTTGTGTTAAGAACCAATTTGTTTTCAAACCAGATGGTTTTGATTTTTTTTTTTTTATTTGGAACTCATAGAAAGTAAAACAATTCACATTGGAGAGAACCCCCTAAAAATATCCATATGAAGGCTAGGTGTTGTTAAAATCATCTAAAAATTATATCCACACCAAGGAAATTGGGGAGAAAAAAAAATATAGTCATCCAAAACCATAATAGAATATATTAGATAGAAAAAGATGGAACACAAACCTGTGGGGGCCCCCACGGGGAATGGGTACTTCAGTCTGCCACTCTTTTTCTAATGCTTTCCCATTCTTTACAGCAATACTCCAATGCTCTAATGCAGGCTCATGGCGGTCCTCCTTGCTGCCACCCATTACATGCAATCTACCTCTCCAAAGTTGAGTTGCTGCAGCATACCTACAAATAAACATAAAAATTCCAATGAAAAACCTATCTCTAAACATGAAATTCTTCAAGAACCATGTAATGATTTATAACCAACATGGATCTAACAGCTCACACCAAAGGTGCATCAAACATTATGAATTATTACAAAAATCTCAAAACTAATAATAAGATGTGGACCCCCAAAAGGCTTTAATAGCTACCATATGCTTAAGTATATCTCGACTATGAAGTATACCTAGGTACTGGTAAAGGAGGCAATTCCCCCCACTGTTTGGTCTCTGTGTCCAGAACAAATGAACGAGCTGTAGGCCCTCTGCATTGTGGACCATATTGTCCACTGATTATGTAGATGTATCGCCCATCTGACACCACTCCTAGATGTGAGTGTGCCATTTCTTTTGGCATATCAAACCTTCCACCCCATGTATTATCCGTAAAATTATAGACATCAACATGAGAATGCACCTGTGAGGTAAAAACACAGATAATGAACAGAAAACAGTAAGGCCAACTGGTTATGTAAGAATAAATATCTGTAAAAAAACAAATTTCTTGTTAATTAAGGTAAGGTTTTTTTTTTGAGATAAGGTAAGGTATTTTTCCAATTTTTTATTTGGATGTCTCCAAAGAGACGAAAAGGTAAGGTATTTTATTAATTCCTTTACTGTAATAGGACATGAATACATGTATAGAGCAAGTATATCATGTACAGCCAGAAACTATCAGCTAGGAGAGCCACAAAAACCTATGCTCTCCAGATCAACAAAACAAAAACTACATACTTTGAAAAGTTCTGTGAATCAACTAAATAGAGTATTATGATCAAAAAACTTGTGGTGTGGGATTCTCCTATACAGGTCCTTGGCTGACAGCCAAGAATGTATAGTAGCCACATCCTGGAGTACCACATCATCCTCACACCTCCTCTTGTTCTCAAACACTCTCTGCTTCCTTTCCTTCCATATGACCCAACTGACCACTAACAGACTCCATAGGGTTTTTCCTTTCTGGTTCAAACCTACCAGCTTCCAAGACTTCAGCAACTCAAATAAGCTTCTTGGCTGACATCAACTGACATTGAAAAGCTTGCAAAAGTGATTATACAAGAGACCGGAAAACCTACAGTCATATAGTGCACAAAAACTGGTTCACCAGCTCCTCATTCCATCCACATCACACACTCCAATGTGCCCAGCAGCATTCCCATCCTTGATAACATGTCCTTGATGAGGCGTTCACATATCTCCTTCTAGGGAAAGTCAAACACCATAGGATCTATGATATTTTTGTAAAAAGACAACTGAAGATTTGCCATCCTTGGACCATTTCCAGGATCTTTCATCTACTTGATTTGAAATCAGTTTATGCTCTTGTAGTTGCTGCAGCAGTCTGGCAAGCTCCAGAATTTCTCAATGATTTAAATGCCTACTGAAAGAAGCACACCATGACCCTTCTCTCTCATTCAAATCATATTGATCTGCCACCACCAAATTTCTGTTTTCTGCTATGAGGTATAGGTATGGATATTCATCCATCAAAGCTGAGTTGTTTGACCAAATGTCTTGCCAAAAACAAAACCTTTGTCCATCACCAATTTTCAGTTTCACCCCCTGCATGAATCTAGGAAAAGATTTCTCTATTCCTTTCCGCATGGAGCAGCCAAAATAAGAGTTGAACCTGCCCAGAACCATTTTCCCAACAGGGCAGTATTCACCTGCCTCACTTTCCTCATGCCAAGTCCACCTACATCCATGGGCTTGCACACTGTCTCCTATTGAACCTGGTAAATTTTCTGCTCCCTGTCCTTGCCATTCCAAAAATGAATCCTTTCCAAATTTTTCCAACCTGTCTGCCACACTTTCCAGGATTAGAAATAAGGATAAAAGTAGGTAGCCCTTTGATAAATACTTTCCAGCCTGCTAGCCTCTTTCTAACCTTTCTATCACACAATCCCAAATGGACTTGGATATACATTTCGCACCAATAGGTAAACCTAGGCACTTCACAGGGAGATGAGCTATTTAGCACCCCAGTTCAGCTGCCAGCTCCTGCATGTTTGACATGCCTCCAACCAGGAAAATTTCATTCTTCTGAAAATTCACCCACAGTCCAGACACCATTTCAAACCTGGCTATCACCATTCAGAGATGATCCATTAGATCTCTATCTGCTTGAAGGGAAAAAAGGGTATCATCTGCATATTGAGGCAGTGGCACTTCAGTTCTCCCACTATTTACCTTAAAACCTTTGATAATACCCCCTCCATTTCTCTCTTAGTCATTCTGGACAGTGCCTCTGGAACACATATGAACAGCAAAGGAAAAAGTGGGTCCCCCTGATGGAAACCCTTGCACATTTGGAGAAACCTGAAGGTAACCCATTTATGAGGATAGAGAATTTTGCCTTGGATATATACATTTTGACCCAATTTCTCCATATATGACCAAAATCCATCTTCTTCAAAACCTTATCAAAGAAAACTCCAGTTTATATTTTTTCGATCAATAAAACTCCAGTTTATGTGATCATATGTCTTTTCCAAGTCGACCTTGCATACTACCCCATTTCTTCCACTCCAGATTCTAGAGTCCATTAATTCATTAGCTGTCAACAGACCTTCCAACATCAACCTCCCAGGAATATAAGCACCCTGTGACTCTGAAATCACTTCACCAAGAACCTGCTTCATCTGCCAGCAAGTGTCTTAGCTAGTATTTTATAAAAACTACCCACCAGACTTATAGGTTTGCATTCTGTGATGCGGATAGGACCACTAACTTTTGGGATTAGTGTTATGACTTATGAATGTGGAATTCAAACTCCACTTAGAAGCTGCTGCTCTCTCATGGAATTCATTCATGGACTTCATAACATCAGCCTTCAAGAAGTCCTAATACTTGTTGTAGAACAAAATGGTAAAACTGTCAGAACCAGGAGTTCGCTCACCTTCTAGCCCCACTTACCTCCTAAACCTCTTCTTCCAAAAATGGCTTCTTGAGATCAACTTTCCGTGCCTCTGAGATAGTGTAAAAATGAATTCAGTCCACCCCTAGCCTCACCTACCCCTCCTCCTACAGCTTTTTGTAGAAATTAACAAAAAGGAGCATAATCAAGTGCATAAATAAAGATATCCGGCAAAGGAGTTGATACTTTTAACATTTTAATTGAAACGGGGAATAGTTTAGACCAGGAGCTTCTGTCCATATAAATTAAAATTAACTTTATCAAAAAGGCCTATTTGATCAGTGGTAGAGAAAGTGTAGTGGTTTAACCCAAAATGGGGGCAAATTTGTGCATATGTATGCTCTGCTCACTAGAAAAAATTTAGTTTATCAAATGCATCATTTTAGCCATGATTTGCATAGACATCACAAGTGGCTCGTGTAAACCAATTAAAACAAACAAGTTTTTCTTATATTAACTAGAACCCTCTTTTGTTAGGTTCCCAACAAGCTGAAAGCCCAAATATGTTCATAGAAGAAATTGAAAAATATAGCACTTCAAATTTTTCAGAAGAAATTGCACATGCATGTGAAGAGCGCGTGCGAGGTCATACAGCTCATTTTGGGTTTTACTTTGGAAAATTAGTTTGAAACAAAAAAAAAAAAGAATGAGCATTAGATGATGATATTTTTTTCCCAAGCTGGAAACACACCAAATCACATTGCATTACCCAAAACCAAAGGTTATAAATTGAAGTGACTTATGACTAATAGTTGTTAGCAGGGAGGAGGAGCAACAGATTCTAAGGAAAAAGTGCTTTAAGTTAATGGATCACCAAACACCATAAACAAAAATAACCAACCGGCTGCAGAAAATGTAAATAATCCTCAAGGGAGCTGAAGGATTCTCACATAGTCGATGGTACCGTATCCAGCAAAAACATAGAGAAGATTCTTAATCTGTATCGCCGACCCATCGAGACGAGGAACAGGTGCCGTCGCCATCTGCTCCCATTTGAGTTCCGGTGCAGGTAAATCAGCGTAGGTCGCTGACAAGACTCTACCGGCACTCTGATCCTTCTTACCTTGAATAGCTCTTTCCTAATGCAAGTGGAAAACCATTAACCATGAGTAGATCGACCGTTTTCAACGAACAATAATTGTCAAAGATACAAAATTCAGAACTCTCTAGCTGATCAAAAAAAAAATATTCAGAACTCTCTAATCGAAAAATTCTCAAGAATAAAGAAAACCCATATTGAATTCATGTCTTGTAGCTTAAGAATCACAATGCGATTCGATCCCGCTCACCTTTTCGACCTTAGGTATGACCACACTCCCAGATTTCTCAAAAGCCCAATTCGAAGCAAGGGACGAGTAAGCAGAAGTCAGAGAAGAAGACGAAGCCCAGAGAAAATCCGCAATGAGAGCAACCCCGAGAAGTCCTACGCATGACAAGAGCAGGAAGAGCTTTGACGAAATGTGCTTCCCGTTCGGCCTCGCCATTTCATTGAATCCCTCGAGAGAGAGATGGAGAAGACTCAGAGAGAGTAGAAGGTGGAAACAGGAAGGTTGAAAAAAATGGAGGAGAAAGCGTCGGTGCTTGGTTGTGCTTTCACCGCCGTGTTTTTTCGACAACAATCAGCCAGCATCAGCAGAGCTCGGATGCGCTCCCCACAGAGCGCGCCCCACTGAACATTCCCCCGTGCATTGGGACGTCTGTTTTTAGTAAAATCAGTAATCACCGCTGTTGTCTTCTTCCTGCGGTTTCTCTCTCTGCAATCTACTACCTAGGGCACTCCTGATCCTCTATGTTTGGACCCGCAGGGATAATCCCTACAAGTCCAACGAAGTCATGCGACGTCTAGCACAACGCACGTGACCTCCTCGTCAAACTCCCATAGGTAATAGGCTTTGCATGGAGCTTATGATCTTTTCGTGTGTAGACCTGTTCATGGGTCGGGTGGCCCGATGGGCCGGCCCGATCTATAATTAAACCTAAAAACCCTAGTCGAATATCCCTCTTCTTTTCACCTCTTTGCCTCTTTCCCTTCTTTTTCCAACCGAACCCTTCTTCTCCACATCCTCTTTCCCTTCTTTATATTCTATTTTTAATGTAAATAAATTCTGATTTATATTGATTATTGAATTCAGAATTTATATTGAATTTATATTCTTTTTTTAATATAAATAAATTCTGATTTATATTGATTATTGAATAGGAAAAATTCTAATTTTTTATTAGATCAGGCTTCGGGCTCGGGCTCGGGCCTAACATATTTCCATTAATGAAGAGTAAAAGCCCGGCCCGGCCCATGAACCTATTCGTGTGGCCTGTGCCATAGGACAGGGTGGTATCAATCCCAAATCAGGACACAATCATACACTTAAAATCATCGCAGTTAGCCCCACTGTTTTCAATCCGTAGTTTACCCAGCTAGTTGAACCTTCACCCGGCCAAGATTCCAGGTCTGATTCAGTCAAGACCCATGGTCAAAAACTGTTGATTCAGTCAAGAACCATTCAACCTAGCCAATTCAACCGTTGACCCATTTGACTCGGTCATTGAGTCACGGGTTGTACACTTAATATATGCAAACTTTCAGAGTCCATAACTTTGTACTCTAATGTCCAATTGGGGTGATTTTTTTTTATTTTGGGTAACTTTTCGAGATCTATGTGTCCCAATGGTCGTAGGCGCCTTGATCCACTCTTTTTGCAAAAAAAAAAAAAAACTTTTTTGACCTCAAATTGCAATTTTAATATTTTTTATAAATAAAAAATTAAAAACTGAGTTAAAATATAAATTAAATATAAAAATGCATATAACATATTTATACATTATTTATTGATAAATTATATATTTATACGCATATATACATATGTATATGTATATGTGTGTGTGTATATATATATATATATATGAAGTGGAACGGCTTGAACCATTTGACTTGGCCGGTCGAACTAGTAGCCCAAAACCCAAAGGCAAAAACGGTTCGGCCTCCGGGTCGGTTTTTAAAATATTGGTTAGACCTTAGATGCACCTAAGTTGGACTTGAATATGAGTTTAGGCCTGCGAGCTTAGGTTTAGGCCCAAAACGCCAAGTCTGACATTATTTCGGCCCAAGCTTGGGTTTCTTAAAAAAACTTAGCCTGAACCCGAATAACATATTGGAAAATTTTCAAATTAGTACCCTATACTTTGGGTCTAGTGCCATTTTAGTCTTCAAACTTTAAAACGCAACAATTTAGTTCCCGAACTTTTAAAATGTGCCAATCTAGTACCTACCAATACCCTTTGAGTGTCATCTAATTCTCTTTATCAGCCATCCAAACATTGACAAAAAATGAACAGTCTCAAATCCTTGCCTCTTTTGTTCAAGAAAGTTGGGTCACCATTAGACCTGTTCATGGGCCGGGCTGGGCCGGGCTTTTTCTCTTTATTAACATAAACTTTTCAGGCCCGAGCCCAAGTCCGGCCCGACCAACGGGCCTAAAACTTGGGCCCGAGCCCGGCCCTCATAAAAAGCCCGAAGCCCAGGCCCGAGCCCGAAGCCCGACTTGGGAGTCTGAGCGTCGGTGCCCTCTGAGGATTGAGAGAATGGTGTTGTTGAGTTCGCCGATTCCTGGGAGTCTGAGAGTGAGAATAGAAAGTGAGAAAATAGAAGATGAAAACAATGCCGGCTAGAGAGAGAGAGAGAGAAAGAGAGCTCACCGCGAGAGAGACGATCTAGATCTGGTGGTGCTAGCCGCCGGTGCCTGAGTTTGTAGAATGAAAATGGTGCGCCTGGGTTCTGGTGGCACCGGTTAGAGAGAGAACTGAGAATGAGAAGAAAGAAGATGAAAACGGTGCCAACTAGAGAGAGAGAGAGAGAGATCACCGCCGCCAAATAGAGAGATGACTAGTTCTAGTGGAGTCGGCCGTCAGTGACTGAGTTCGCAAGTGCAGTTGGGTTCACCAGTTCTGAGAGTTGAGAGGGAGAAATGAGAGCCGCCGCTTCTGAGAGTGAGAGTGAGAAAGGAGAATGAAAAGAAAAATTTTAAATATTTAGGGTTAGGGTTAGGTAGTTTAGGAAAAGTCGGGCCAGGCCGGGCTTTTTTAACAAATCCCGAGCCCAGCCCGTAAAATAGTCGGGCTCGGGCTTTTAGGCCCGCGGGCTAAAATACATGCCCAAGCCCGTTCGGGGCCGGGTCGGGCCGGCCAGCCCGTCGGGCCACCCAGCCCATGAACAGGTCTAGTCACCATAATGCCCACTAAGACGTAACCCCAACTTTATTGAATAGAAGAGGTAAGGATTTGAGACTATTCATTTTTTGTCAATGTTTGGACGGTTGATAAAGAAAATTAGATGACACTCAAAGGGCATCTACGTCTTTTCAAATGTCACTTAACGGCTGATTAACAGATTCGTTAACGATAGGTACTAGATTGACACATTTTTGCAAGTTCGGGTACTGAAGGGATTAAAGTGGCACTAAGCACAAAGTATAGGGTATTAATCGGGATTTTTCCCTAACATATTATATAACAAAAGAAATACATTTTATATAATAAACTAGTGGGGACCCGTGCATTTGAGATTTATCAAGAAAAGTGAAATAACCAAAACTTGTAATTAAGGAAAGAATGTAATGATGTTTTTAAATAATTAAATATTTATTTTAATAATTTGATTAAATCTTTTACTAATTTAGTAATTTGAATTTATTATATTAATATTTTTAATAAAATTTATAAATTATTACTAATTATTTAATAAAATAATTATTTTTCTATATTATTTGTTAGTGTTATATTTTATTTATTATTTTTCCATATTACTTTATTAATGATTAAATGTTTCAATTTTTTTGTAAATATCACTTAAATATTTAAAATACTTAAAGATTAGTAAATATATAAAGTTAGGCTATAGTCATAATTAAATTAATCTATAGTTAACTTTTTTTAGTCATAATTAAATTAATATAAGCCCAAACTTAAGGTTTAAGACTTTGGATTAGGCTTAGATTGATCCTCATCCTGACCTAACCTACCCAAGTTGCATGTATCGTAATATTCGTATTTGGGTTGAACCAAATTGAATGCAATCCATGCATGCATTATTTTTTTGGTTTTTAAACTATTTTTAGATTGAAGCCAAAAAGGAGTTATAAAGGATGGGCTACCCTAGCCCAATGAAAATTTTGATAGTATATTAGTAGCTTTTGAGGTTGATTGGCCTAACTTAGCCCACACCTTAAGTGTAATAATATTTGTCTCGGCCTACAGGATTGCCCGTGTTAATTATAAAACTATGATTTTTTTAAAAAATTAAAGTTTTTATTTAATTCTAGTCTAGTATAAATATAAATATAAATAAATATATATATATATATATACTTTGTTATCTAAATATTATACAGTAATATTTACCATATATGCATATAACATCCCTATCTGCTAGGACCATCATTAGACTTCGAAAGTTCGATACCCAATTAGACTTTGAATCCGATTGTCTTAGATTTGGATGTCAGAACTTGCATCTAGTTAATAATTCAATTGGATGTGAATTTAACCCCATCCAATTTGATTAAAATCCACACCTAATAAAAAGCATTATTTTGTATGTATATAGTATAATTATTGTATACACGGAGATATTATGTATAATTATACATATATGCATTTATACCTTAAAATTCAAAATCCAACATAATAATAATCAAATGTAAATTCAAATCTAGAAATTTCATAATCGGGTATTGATGTGGATGTAGTTGTATTTGATTTAAATCTAATCCGTTTACAACCCTACTACCCACAATATGTGTGGGCTTGGTGTATATTTGATATAGACCTAACTCAAAGAAAATAATTGCTTGAGCATGGAAATTTATAGATCTATTCAGGTTAGGCTAAGTTATAAACGATTTGTTACTAGTTTTACTATTAATTTTAATTATCCCATTAATACTAATTTTTATTAATTTCTTAATTTATAATATTTGCCAGACAAAAGCTGCCAAATTTTAATATTTTTATTAACTTCAGTAATTTTAATTAATTTTACAACCCTAATATTCACATTATGTATGGGCTTGGTGTTGATTTGAGCTAGACCTAACTTAGAAAAAATATTTGCTTGTTATAAATGTGCATCCCTAAGTAGAAGTCTTATCGCATTATTTTAATAATTTTTTGTAATTTTTTATACATAATGCAAATGGTTTATTTTATTATTTTCATAATTTTTTACTTTTAATTATTAATGTTTAATTCTTAACTTTTAATAGTTGCTAGATAAAATTTTGCTAGTTATTAGGTTTCAAATTATATATAGATTTTATTGTTGTTGTTGTTGTACGTTATGTATCACATGTTATGGGTTTCTAGACGAATTAGAACCGTTTTCGAAAATGGGTTAACACAGACCTGTTTATCTTGTCTTATTCGTCTGAGTGATAAAATGGGTTTTACATTTTAAATTTCCAATAATTTTTTATTGTTATATCATTTTCAATGGGTCCTCTATTTTATATAAGTCTCTTGTGTAGTATGGGCACTATGCACAATAAATGTATGAACTCATAAAAATTATTAATTTTAACAATATTATTAATTAAAACACATTAATGCAAAGTTATCTAACAAAAATAAAAATAATAAACAAAACAAAATACAACATTAGAACATGAGTTTTATT